GGTAATTTGCTGTTAACTTACATAATTATTCCTTGGTGATTACTAAGTAGTACAGCAGTAGTACATGCTGCCTGGCCTGCTCAGGTGCTGCCCCTAGGCAAGAGGGTTCTTCCCTTGGCATTTTCTCGAAGTCATGCTCCGTGCCCAGGTTGGCCTGGCTGCTCCCTAGTCCCTGCTGGATGCTCCAACCATAGCTCCTGGAGGGATACCTGGGATACCCCCGTTAGCCCCTCTGGACTAGCAGCTCCCTGTGCGTGTGTACCCAGGTAACCCTCTGAAAGCAGCTGGTCACACAGGGGGCTGCTAGACCTTGGAGTGGGGGATGAGGTGAAAAAAGGTCCTGTGGGGAGTTCCCTTCCCTACAGAGCCCTTCGGCTGCCCCTTAAACAATGGGGTGCCAGACTTGCCTTTCCTTCTACCCCAAAACTCATTAAAATTCTAAAAAATCTACCCCAAAAAATACCTTAGAATTCCCTCAAAAGCCCTAAAGATACCCTACTCATAAAAAGTCCTAAAATTACCCTCAATAGTCCTAAAAAAAAAATCCCTAAAAATCCCTCATCTCCTGTCGAATGAGACATGGGGTTAGGAATTAACTTGGGTTAGAAATCAACTTCAGATTTAGGTGGGATGTGCTGTTTTGCATTGTTTAACTTGTTTAGTCTGTTAAATTTGCTGTGTTCAAAAAAGCCTGTAGCTCTCAAGATTGACTCAAACAAGGTGAAAAGAACGTGAGCTTCCAAGCTAGAGGAAGATAAGAGGGGCCCCTTGGACCTCGAAACAAGAAGCAAGCCAAAACTGAGGCTGCAGGAGACAACGGACAAACAGCGAGCTCTCTGCTCAAGGACTGATATGAACTAATTGTAATGCGATGAATATGCATGAGCTATTGCGAAACTTAATGCATATGCAATAGGCTGGGGGACAAAGGGGAGTTTGGACTCTTGGATTGCGCGCATGTTCTTTAAGGAGCTATCCTGCATGCGTCCGACGCTGAATAAAGATACATACCCTCTTCACGACTTTTACTAGTTGTGGAGTTTTTTCCGCAAATCACGCAGACCCTGTGGGAAACCTGAGTTATGTCACCGGGGCGGGGGGGAGCGCGGGGGCTGTGGGGATGATGGAGCGGGAGCTGCGGGCAGCACCCGCGGGCCGGGGGGGCCCGGGACAGGTGCGGCACCCTGCAGACTCTTCCCTTAAGGGTCCAATGTTTATTTTGAACATTTATCCTGCAGCTGGATAGTTCAGGTAACAACCCCTCCGTTGCCTTGCACTGCCCTACCTGGCCTACCCCTCCATTTCATTTCCTTTCATTATCTTGGCTTCCACTGCCTCCCCTTGCCCTGCCTGGACCCCTTGCCTGCCCCTCCCTTTCCTCGTGTTGCCTTTACCAACCCTCCCTTCCGTCATCTTGCCTTCCCCTTCTGTTGCTTTGCCTTGTTTAACCCTCCCTTGCATAGCGTTTCGTACCCTTCCTTTCTTTGCCTTACCTACCCCACGCTTGCCTTGCCTTGTATTGCTGCCCTCTTGAATTGCCTCTCCCTCCTCTGCCTTTCCTCACCGACCAACCCTTCCGTTCCCTTGCCTTGCCTACCCCTCCCTTGCCGTTGCCCCCATTTCGACACATGACTCGGGGGGCGCGGGCGGTCTCGTCCCCTCCCTGCCCCTCCTCGCTGTTCTCTCCCTCGTGTTTTTGCGTCGGGGGAGCGCTCCTGGCCTCCCGCTCCCTCGCTATGTTCGGGGTGGGCACCCCACCCTGCAGCGCCCGCTCCTCCAGTCCCTCGCTCTGGGGACGGCGCTCTACTCCCCTCCCGCCCCCAACAGCTCTAAGCCAATCGGTTGCCAGGCACGCCAGGCCTCGGCCAATCAGAGCGCTTCGTGCTTCGAGTCGCCTGTTGCCAGGCAGATCAGCAGAACGCAGCGCCCCGCACAGACCCGCTGCGTCTCGCAGGGCGGCGAGCCCAACCCGGACCGCAGCCTCTCCGGGGAGGGCTCTGCGGAGCGGGGAAGTGCAAATCAGCCAGACCGCTATCTTCGGATGCTGTCCGAGGGCTGCGGCTGTGGCGGGTGCCGAGAGTGGCCGGTCAGGGTGGGGGCAAGGCTGGGCTTCGGGCGTCCAGAGGTTTAGGGGGTCCCAGGAAGAGCCGGGACTTGCGGGATCAAAAGTACAAATTTTATTAGGAGGAGGTAAATGCGGCCCTCCCACAGTGCGTTGACCCTGGCATCCGGGGGGGACCCAGGCATCTGGGGTGTTGAATGGGGGCACCCAGGGATCAGGCGGTCAGGTGTCAGGTGAGTTGGGATGGAGTCACGCAGGGTTCAAGCAGAGTCAGATGGGGTTAGGTAGGGTCACAGGTGGGGTCATAGCCGGTGTCAAAGTGAGGCATAGGGTTGGCAGGGGTGAGGCCGAGGTCAGGTGGGGTCAGTCAGGGGGTCACAGTCAGCAAGGTTCAGGCAGTGTCACACAGGGTCAGGTGAAGTCAGGTGTATTCAAGAAGGGTCAAAAAAACTTCAGATGAGTCACAGTGTGTTCAGAAAAGTAATAAAGTGGTCAAGTGGAGTCAGGCCAGGGTCAGGGTAAGGCCGGGGGCTGGCAGGGCACCATACGCAGGCGAAAGGAGGGGCAGCGCAGCACCGTGCCCGGCGAGCCCCTCAGCCCCGGCAGTCCCTCCGGGCCCGGCTCCAGACGGAATTCCCGCAGGATCAGCTCAGGGAACACGAGGAGCTCGGCCCGCGCCAGCCCCTCCCCCGGGCACGACCGCGCCCCGCAGCCGAACGGCAGCAGCGACAGCGAGGGGGCGCCCGGCGCCAGGAACCGCTCTGGGGGGCAGCGGGTCAGCTCCGAGGGGTGCGGGGGGACCCACAGGCTTGGGGGGAGCGGGCGCGATGGGGGGACCCAAGACTAAGGGGCGGACCTCCACAAGTTTGGAGGGAGCCTGGGGGTTCCCCAGGTTGGACCTCGGGGTTCAGAATGGAGACATGGGGGTTTGGGGTGACCCAGGGGCTCAGAGGGAGCCTAAGACTCGGGGGAGACCGCAGGACGACAAAGGGGATTCACATGTTTGGAGAGAGTTCAGACACCTGAGGAGGGTCTCAGGGGTTTGGGGGGGGGTAGAGGGGAGGAACAGGTTTTGGGGGGTACACAGGGCATGGGGGGGATGCAGTTCAGGGTGAGCGTCTCCCCCACTGCCACTGCCACCTTGGGCTGGGGCTGCTGCAGAGTGAAGCCCTGACCCGCATGGGCATCCACACCTGGGCACAGAGACAGGAGGGTTCAGGGATGAGCGATGGGGCGAGGCAAGGGCACCCTCACAGGCAGAGAAGTCCCAGTATCCCCCAATTTGCAGCTGAGAGATATCCTGGGCTGTGGCAGAGACAACATGCAGGCACTGGGAGGGAGGAAACCCTTCAAAAACCGGTTCAAAATTATCAAGGGGCAAATCTGAAAAAAGAGCAGGCTACCCAGGGCAGTGGTGGAGTCACCACCCCTGGAGGGCTTTAAATGACATGTAGATGTGGCACTTGATGACCTTGGCAGAGCTGGGTTAACGGTTGGACTCGAGGATTTCAGAGGGCTTTTGCAACCCAAACAGTTCTGCGATTCCATGATTTGATAAACCTGCATCCTGTTCTGTCATTTGCAGGGAGCGCTGCAGCTGCCTGGGGGCCAGAGAGGTGCAGAGGGAGCCAAGGGGAACTCCTGACAGGAAAAATTCCTGAGTGCTGTTAAACATTAACACCCTGGCTCTGCTCCACACCAGCCAGGATCACTCTGCGAGGAACTGGGCTTCACAGCCAGGAACCAGTGTTCCAGGAAGGATGTGCAGCCCTGGAGCCCGGAAAAGCCCCCCGACCCCCTCTTGTCCCAAAATCCCTCCTGCTCCCCAAAACCCCATCCGATCCCCAAACCTCTCCTGCCCACAGTCCCCACACGTATGGCAGCGGCTCGGCAGGGCTCAACCCAGCTGTGCCCATCGCCGGGGCTGGGGGTGCTCTGCCAGCACGGTTTGGGCACGGTTTGACCCCAAAAGTGCTGGGGAAGGACCACCCTCCGCCCCGCCCGCTGTCTATCTTTGCCGCCCACTCGTGTTTATGGAGCAGGGGAGCTCTGGGGGGGCCCCACTTCCAACTCACCCCGGAGCCGCCGCTGGACGGGGCTTCGCTGCCCAGACAGGAGCGGAGCTGCTGCCGCGGCCATGGGCTCTGCCCAAACTTTGGGAAGGAAAAGGGGAAGCGCGACAGGAAATTGAGGCGAGCGGGTGGTTAACGCTTTGGTGTCTGCCCGGGGCGGGCGACAGCCAGCAGAGCAGCCGAGCATCACCCCCGGCGGGCATCACCCTGCCCGGACCCTCCGGGCATCACCCCCGGCGGGCATCACCCTGCCCGGACCCTCCGGGCATCACCCCCGGCGGGCATCACCCTGCCCGGACCCTCCGGGCATCGCCCCCGGGCCACCCGGCACCGAGCGGCTGCTCCGGGCTCGGGACAGGGGGTGGCTTTGCGTCCTCCCCGGTTCGGTGAGGGGCAGGAGCAGAGGGCTTCGGGATGTGGGACGCTCGGTGTATCCCGGACACTGCTGTGCACCACCGACCCATGGGAGAGCCCATCCCGCACCCCGATCCTGCTGGGAAGGGCTGGGTGTCCCCTTGGCACCCCAGGCTGGCTGTGTGTGGGGGAGCCTGCTGGATCCGGGCTCCCTCTTGCTGCCTGTGCCCATGGCTGTGGCTGTGGCACACATCCGAGTGGAAAATGGGGTGGACGTTGCCATTATGGACCAGCGTTGTGACAGGAGATGATGTAGGCCTTGAGAAGCAAATGGGACATGATTGCATGGAGGAACTGGGCTGATGGTGGCTCTTTTCCTTCCCCTTTGCTGGGTAAGAGACCAGCACCCTGCTAAGATAAGCCCAGCCCAGCTGAGTCAGCTGAGCCCAGTGCAGCAGAGTCCAAGGGAGCCGAAGCCAGCTGAGCAAAGCCTGGCAAGGTGTGGAATACCCATGGTTCTGGTGGCACAGGAACTGCCTCTCATGTGCCTGATGCTGCTCCAGCTCTGCAGAGAGCCGGGTAAGTGGGCCCTGCACAGCCCCATCACATTTCCACCTTTCCCACCCTGCAGGCCTGGCAGTGCTTCCCTGTGCCCATGGGTACCCAGGGATCTCCTCTCACTGCCTTCCTTCCAGCTTGCTTCTATCTCCAGATGAAATTCAGTTTACCCAGCAAGAGTCTGGGCTTTCCTCATCCTGCAGCCCCCAGCAGCCTGCGGGACAAGGGACAGGAATGTCTCTCTGTCCCCTGCTCCAGGCTCAGGGGATCTGATGATGCCTTTTGCTGTTCCACGGCCCTGGGGCCCATTGTCAATTCCAGAACTTTCTGTCTCTGTGACCAGGTGTGAGTGCCCAGGCGGGTCAGGGCTTCACTCTGCAGCAGCCCCAGCCCAAGGTGACGGTGACAGCGGGGGAGACGCTCACCCTGAACTGCACCACGTCTGGAGTTGCTGGACCAGGTCCTATGATGTGGCTGAAGGGCTGGGGCAGTGGGAACAAGACTGTCTATGACCAGAGTAATGAGGATCCCTCCTCCCGTGTGACGATGGCAGCGCCTGTGTCTGACACAGATTTCACCATCCGCATCAGGAACGTTCAGCCTGATGATGTTGGCACCTATTACTGTGTGAAGTTTGTCAAGGGGAGCACTGGTGTTGATGAGGTGTTTAGGCATGGCAGTGGCACCGAGGTGTCTGTGCAAGGTGAGTGGGGCTCCTGGAGCAGCTCCTGATGGGAACCACCCAGCGGGCTCTGCTCAGGTGGAGCAGGGATGGGGAAGGGGCTCAGGGCTGGTCCAGGAGAGGATGCCATGGGCCATCCCCATGCCCTTGTGTGAGACTCTGCTCCAGGCAGGCCCAGAGCTGGGCAGGGGGCAGGGCCTGGGTCTGATGGCCCCGTGCTTGTCCCCACAGCCAAACCCAGCCCCCCGCTCGTGTCTGGGCCTGAGCAGAGAGCAAGGCCGGAGGAGTCGGTGCCTTTCACCTGCACGACTGGAGGGTTCCTTCCTGATAAGATTGAGGTGAAATGGTTCAAGAACAACAACCCCATGGGGGTTCAGCCACCCCAGGTCACTGAGTGGAAGATGAAAACCTACAACATGTCCAGCACAGTGAAGGTGACCCTGCAGAGGGACGATGCCCACTCGCAGCTCACCTGTGAGGTGGTGCACTCCACGCTGCCGGCCCCGCTGCGAGGGAGCTTCCAGCTCAGCAGTGTCCTGCGAGGTGAGGGCTGGGGGCTTGCATGGGGGTCCTGCTCTGTGGGGCTGGGGTCCCTGGGAGGAGGACAGGGCGCCCTGTGGGCAGCAGAGCCGGGCACAGCAAACACCGAGCTCTGCCTCTCTTCTCAGTTCCCCCCAGCGTTGAAGTGCGCGCTGAGCCGAGCCCCGTTGAGGTGAACAAGACCGTGGCCTTCATCTGCCTCGTGAAGGAGTTTTACCCAGCTCAAGTGTCTGTTTCCTGGCTGGAGAATGGAATTGAGATAAAGGGGCAGAACCTCTCACAGCCACTGGAGCTGCCCCAGGGCTTGTTTGAGCTGAGAAGCCGGGTGGAGGTGCAAGCAACGGAGGAGAAAAATGGGGCCACGATCACCTGCACGGTGGTGCATGATGCCCAGGCCCCTGCCAACTATTCAACCGTCCTGTGGATCTCTGACCCGGCCCAGGGTGGGTTCCAGATGGATAAAGGTGCATCAGAGCTGCTGGGATGGGGTGCCTGACAGTCTGTCTGGTGTCACCCCCTGAGGAAGCTGGCAGTCCCAGGAAAGGCTCCCTGCAGGGGGTTGGGATGCCTCTCCCCGAGCCCTGGTTGCTCACATCCCCTCTCCCCTCTGCAGGTGCGAACTTTCTGTCCAGCCTTCTCCTCCTGTGGATGGGTGTCCTGCTGGAGAAGGGGATCATCGGGGGGCTCCTCTTCTTCCTCTTCAAGCGCATGAAGAGAAAAGCATCGCAGATGTTGCCCTACCCTGCTCCACCTCAGTCCCCGGCTCCTGCAGCTGGGTCCCAGGGCTTGGCCACTGCCAGCAGTGATTTGTGAACCTGGAAATAAACGAGCCAGCATGCACAGGCTGCCGTGGGCTGCTCCGCGCCGCCAGTCCCGGCCCCGCCCGTGGCCATAAACCCGCCCTGCTCCGGGGCTTGGCACTGCCCATCCCGGGGCTCTGTGCTGCACACCGGGGCTCGCGGCTGCCCGTCCCAGAGCTCAGTGCTGCACACACAGTGCCCGGTGCTCGGTGCTGCCCGCTCTAGTGCTCAGTGCTGCCCATCCCAGAGCCAAGTGCTCGGGTCCCCCTGCCCGGTGCTCTGTACCCCATCTCCAGTGCCCGGTGCTCGGTACCCCATGCCCGGTGCCCTGTACCCTGTGCCCCGTGCCCGGTGCCGGTGCCCGGTGCTCGCTCCGGGGCCGGTTGCGGTGCAGTGCCTCCTCCTGACCGGCAGGGGCCGCTGTTTGCGGGCCGGGCGCCGCGCGTCGCCCCGGGTGTTTCCGGCCGGGCGGGTTTGGCGGCGCACGCGGGGGCGGTGCGGGGCGGCCCGGCGGGGTTTGGGCGCTGCACCACGGCAAGATGGCCGACAGGGAGGAGGCGTTGAGGGAGTTCGTGGCCGTGACCGGCGCCGAGGAGGAGCGAGCGCGGTTCTTCCTCGAGTCCGCCGGCTGGGACCTCCAGGTACCTTTGCCGCTGCCCTCTGCCCTCCTCGGCCCGGCGCGGGGATCGGCGGGGCCGCGGCTCAGGAGGCCGTGGCGCTGACGGGGGGCAGCGCTGGGCCGGAGGTCGGTGTCCCGCAGGCTCAGGCCTCGCCCCCGTCCGTCGCCGCGCTCAGCCCTGGCGGCGGTGCCGTGGGCTGGCTGAGACTGAGGCCCCTCCTGGTTCTGTCGTTCACTTTGTAGCGCGAGGTGAGGGATGGTGGGCCCGGGGTTTGCCGGGGTTCTGTAGGTTTTCCTGGAATGCGGGTGAGGCTGTCAGTGCTGAGCTGTTGGTGCTGTCAGCAAACAATCTGAGGGGGAGTCAGCCACCATTCTGACCTGCTCCTGTCCCTGCTCCTCCTCAAACTGGCTGTGTTAAATTTTGAGTCTGCTCATGATGGCACAAAAGCTGCTGTTTCACAGCACTAATTTTGGCATAACTCCCGTGTAAGTGCTGCAGAAGAAGGGCCCTGACATTCCCTGACAGGGAGGGTGACATCCCTGCAGCACTGAGTGTCCTGCCATGACACAGCCAAATAGCAAACCCGCTGAGGCCTCGTCTCTGCCAGGACCTGCAACAGGGGGAATGACATGAAGTGTCTTTAGTGTCATGTCTCTCAGGAGGTCCAGCGTGACAGATGCTTCAGCTGGGTTGTTTGTCTGTGTTTTTCCTGAGGAGCTTTGGTGGTTTTCCTTTCCAGATTGCGCTTGCCAGTTTCTATGAGGATGGGGGTGACGAGGACATCCTGACCCTTCCCCAGCCCACGCCCAGCTCCATATCCAGAGGCACTGGAGCCAGGTGAGGAGGCAGCTTCAGCTCCATACTGGAAAGCTGCCAAAGCACACACACTCTCTAAAGCACTGTGTTAATTTTCAGGAGGAGTAGCTCTGTGTTTAGGTAGAATATTTTCTCATTTTGTGTGACACCTGAGCTGATCAAGCTGAGCATTTTACAAAAAAAAAAAAGAATTTTACCTTACCAAATCCCTTTGCAGTAAAGGAATGCTGTCCAGTCCCAAAGAGGAGCTGCTGTCTTTGTCACTAAGGGAAAGTTCTCTCGGGTCAGGTGCTGGTGAACAGAGCCCACCTTGCAGAAGGAGCCTGTTGCAGTGTGGAATGTTCCAGCTGGGAATGTGTCTGGAGGCTGACATCCTTCTTGCTGGATTTTTGCAGTGACCACCGAGTAACCTCGTTCAGAGACCTTGTGCATGCTCAGGAGGAGGATGATGAAGAGGAGGAGGGACAGCGGTGAGTTTGCAGCTGAAGACTCCAATGCTGGGTGTTTATCCCTTCTGGGAGAACTTGCTGCTTGTGTACAGCTTCTTTGAAAAAAACAGGTTTACATGGATATGAAGTTCCTGTTATGAAACATTTGAGGTTTGACAGGGCAGGTTTGTTGTCAGTGCAAAGCCTGGTGCTCAGCTGTGTAAGCACCATCTCTCAGCACTCAGAGAAAGCCTAAAGTGGGATGTGGAAGGCCTGGTTTGAGAATGGAAAACAGCCCAGATCTTAATTTGTGTCCACAGGAAATGTGGAAATTATGCAGGGATTGGTTTTCTTACTGCTTGGGGTTTTGGGGGTTTATTTTGGTGGGGGTTTTGGTTTTGTGTTCTTTTTTTAAGTGTCGCTTAAGGGTAAAGTAATGGAGTATGGAGTCAGAAATAAAAAAGTAGGGACCCTTTCCAGGGGGACCATGGAATATTAGTAGGAGAGTCTCCTACACTGTCAGCTCTAAGTAGTTAAATACCCTTAAGGTTGACAGGCAAGGTAAATGGAATGGAACTGATGTATCTGAAGGGGTGGCTCAGCCTGGATGGGCCATTGTCTGCAGGCAGCTGGGAGCTCACTCTGTGTGTTCCAAGCCATCTGGAAGCTAATAAACCCAATCTTGCAGAAGTGCTTAATTGCACTTCACTGACTGTGCATCCATTGCTTCCAGTTGAGATCCATCCTTTGTGTGGCATCAACGTGTGCCTTCCCTCAGAATTCCAGCTGGATGTTGCTCTGGCAGGTCAGAGATTTGCTGGAAGCTTTGCTCAGCTGGGTAATCGAGCTGGTACTGGTGTTTAAAACTGGGCTTGTCCCTCTGGGCTGTTCCTCCTCCCAGCTCTGAGCATTGTTACCACTTTATTGCTATTGATCCATGGGTGATTTACAGGAATTGACAGGAAGGAAGTCTTTGCAGCACAGGAGCTAGCTGAGCAAGCACATGGCTGGTGGTAGGCAGTGTTTGCAGATCCAGGGGGTTTCCTTGAGATGCACCAACAAGTGAGCCCTGATCCAGCCCGAGGCTCCTGCTGAGGCAGCAGGCAGGGCTGACCAGGAGCTTGGTGCTTTCTGTCAGGTTTTATGCCGGTGGCTCAGAGAGGAGTGGGCAGCAGATCGTGGGTCCTCCGAGGAAGAAGAGTCCCAACGAGCTGGTGGAGGATCTGTTCAAGGGAGCCAAGGAGCACGGCGCCGTCGCCGTCGATCGGACGGCCAAGAGCGGTGGCGAGACAAGCAAGCCAAAGGTGAGGAGGGAGGAGTTCTTCCTTCTGTTCCCTGGTTCAGTTAAGGTTCCACCTTGCCAGCTCTTTGGTACTGAGGAGTCCTGGAATTACCTCAGCAGCTAAGTCTGGACTCCTCTCTTAGTGCAGCTCCATTTTGTGTGTCACAGCAAGAAAAGCTGTTCTGTTGTGCCACATTTATTGACTTGCTGAAGCTGTCACTGCCTGCAGGGCAGGAGATGTTGCTGATGCCATGAAGTCCCTGTTCACCCACAGGGGTGGTGGGAACAGGGAAGCAGCTCTTTGGGTCTGTGTGGTTCTGTAACCCTGTGCCTGCTTCTCTCTCACAGCCTTTTGCAGGGGGAGGGTATCGCCTTGGGGCTACTCCAGAGGAGGAGTCAGCTTATGTGGCAGGAGAGAGGAGACCGAGCTCTTCTCAGGATGTGAGTATCTCTGCTTGGGTTTGTAGCTGTCACTCCAGGGATTTCTCTGCTCCAGCTACTGAGCTTGCCAGCCCCGAGAGATACAAAGCTTGATAGAAATTCACAAGGACAGAAATATGGTAAATCCTGCTTCCTGTGGGATTTCCAAGTAGAGAATAATAGATGATTAGGTCTTGGGTAAGCAGTTTTCTGGTGATCTTTTAATTAAGAATCTGAGCTTTTCTTAGAAGTGCAGATCAGGAAAAATAGTGTGCAAAGAGCATTGGGAAATCAACTCTTCTTTATCCATTATTATATACATCCAATATATATCCATAGATGGGAGCTGACAGCATCAGTTCAAGATTCCCTTGTGCTTGGTTTGTGACCAGACAAGGTCGTAGCTGTGGTGGGAGTCTGGTTTAGGCTCCTCACCCAGCACATTCCTAGCTTTTCAGCCATATTGATCCAAAAGAGGACCGTGGTGCCACCTTCTAGGAATTGACACCTGAGCATTACATAAAAGCCAGTGCTTTGGGTTTTTCCCTTAGCTCAGAGAAACCTGCTGGAATGTTTTTGCACCTTGGAGCTCCTCTGCCCATCTGAAACTTTTCACTTTGCTTCAGTTTTTGTTGTCACCAAGAAGCTCAGTGAGGCTGATTGTTCTTTTGGGGCTGCTGCAGGTGCATGTTGTACTGAAGCTCTGGAAGAGTGGATTTAGTCTGGATAGTGGAGAGCTGAGGAGCTACCAGGATCCGTCCAATGCCCAGTTCCTCGATGATATTCGCAGAGGGTACGTAATGAGAGGGGAGAAAAGGGACAGCTGTTCCCTGAAACATGAGTGTTTGTGGAATCCAGGCTTCTGAATCCATGGCACATTTCACCTGAGCTTTCTTGCAAGAAATTAGTTACTCTTAATATGGAACATTTGGTTCAGGTAAACAGGGAGTGGGTTTGGTTTATGTGGGGCCTTGAGAGTTGAAGTAAACAAACATGTTGATATTTGTGTTGAGAATTTCTGATGCATTGTGTCACGGCAGGTGAGGGCCCAGGATAAGTAAAATTTAGTTTGTGTCTGTCAGTGGGGAGGTGTGCATCTGCCCTGTCAGTTAAGCAAAGGCTCTCTGTGATTCCTGAAATTCCACAGATCTTGGGCTTTTTGCCCACAGAGTCCTGCCTTGCTGCCTCAGGCAGCTGCCTTAGAACACTCTCTTTGCAGGGAAGTCCCAGCTGAGCTGCGCAGGTTAGCACGGGGCGGACAGGTGAACCTGGACATGGAAGATCACCGTGATGAGGAATATGTGAAACCTAAAAGTGTCTTCAGAGCTTTTACTGGAGAAGGACAGAAGCTGGGCAGGTGAGAAAATGGCGACACTGGTCTACTACATGTAATGTGAGAGTCACTCAAGCCTTGCAAGGTGGAGCCTTCTGATTCATCCTTCTGAAA